AGGCTGGTGCCGCCCATACACCACGTACCCAGGGGCCGGCACCGCTCATACACTGCATGCCCGAGGCCGACACAGCCCTTGCACCACGTGCCTGGGGGTGGGGCCAGCCCTGATCACTCAGCAGGCGCACAGAAATGGCCCGGCGGGCGTCATGGCGCCCGTGGGCACCACATTGGGGACCACTGGTATAGACTGTTCAGGAAGAACAGGCAGGGGAGAAAAGGAGGAGGAGTTGCACTATATGTAAGAGAGCACTATGATTGCTCTGAACTCCAGTATAAAGGAGAAAACCCTGTTGACAGTCTATGGGTTAAGTTTAAAGGAGCAAGCAGCAGCAGTGATGTTGTGGTTGGTGTCTGCTACAGGCCACCGAATCAGGTGGATGAGGTAGATGAGGTTTTCTTCGGACAACTGAGCGAAGCTTCCAGATCGCAGGCCCTGGTTCTCGTGGGGGACTTTAATCCCCCTGACATCTGTTGGGAAATAGGGTTGCCAGATGGTCTCCCAAAAAATACCATGCAACAACCCACCGTCACCCCAGGCTTCTGGTGTGCCCAGAGCCGTGATTGGGTCCCCCCACTCCTCCTCAGTGCCAGGTACCACCCATCCTGCCTTCCCGCAATTCCCAGGACCGCCCTGCACCAGGCTCCAGAACCGCCCCGCCCCAGCGCTCAGCTGTGCCGCAGGTCCCTGTAGAGGCCCCGCCGGAGGGGCAGAAGGGGAAGCAGCCTGGGAGACGGTGCCACGATCAGCACTGGGAGGCTCTAGCCAGGAGACTTACCTGGGTAACTCCCAATCACCAGCCCAGCAGTTTCTCAGACAGGCTGCAGAGCCACGAGCACGTGTGAATAATTAGGAGTGGGGGGCCTGGTGCTTTGTCTGGTGCCTATTATTCAAATAGGCTGCTCCTATTGGCCAGTTTCTGAAGCCTTCCCCCTTCTCTCCAGGCTCCAGGCTCAGGGTATGTCTACACTTGCCCCCTCTTTCGAGAGAGGGATGCAGATGAAGACGTTCGAAATTGCAAATGAAGCCGGGATTTAACTATCCCACACTTCATTTGCATAATTGCGTTATGGCGCTATTTCGAAATAGCGCTACTTTGAAATAACAGACGCTGTTAAGACGTGGTTATTTTGGGAGAAAACCCTTCTCTCGAAATAACTGGTAAACCTCATTGCATGAGGAATAAGGGTTATTTCGAGAGAAGGGTTTTCTCTCAAAATAACCACGTCTTAACAGCATCTGTTATTTAGAAATAGCGCCATAATGTGACTATGCAAATGAAGCGTGGGATATTTAAATCCCGGCTTCATTTGCAATTTTGAATGTCTTCATTTGCATCCCTCTCTCGAAAGAAGGTGCAAGTGTAGACATACCCTCAGAGTTTTGAAAGAGAAACGGGGCCTGGCCACCACTTTTTTGGTGTGTGGGTGGGGCGGGTTCCCTGCAGTGTCTGTAGGCTGGATCCGGTGGGCTGTATTTTGCCCAGGCCTGATATATACACTACAGCCTTGCTTCTGCTAATCCAAGTGCCTCCACTAATCCCGACATACCTCCACTTCCATAAGAGGAGCTGTCAAATTGACAAGAAAGCTGGGGTCCCAGCTAGTCTGCTGCCAGGTCTCCCCTGCAAGCCAGGCTGCCCTCTAGGAGCCTCATGGGGTGCTCCACTTCCCCTTGGATCCCAGCTCCTCACTCCTAGTAGGGAGCCTACCTCTCCCTCAGGCTTTTGACTCAGGAGCATGGCAGCCAGCTAGGCTCCAGGTATTGATCTCCCCCCCCTGCAGGTGAGAAGCCCTGGCAGGGATCTGCATGGAGTAGAGAGTGCTGGCCCTCTTCAGTCAGTGAAAGTGTTCCTAGGGAGCAGTAGGGATGCAAAATCACAATTAAAAAGTTAACTGGTCTTAACATTCCGTTCAACTGGCAAATTGCCGGGCTGGCGTGCCTCCCGCCCTAGGGAGCAGTAGGGATGCAAAATCACGATTAAAAAGTTAACTGGTCTTTACATTCCGTTCAACTGGCAAATTGCCAGGCTGGCGTGCTCGGCCACCAGTTCACCCCTTACCCAGAAAGCATCACCCAGTAAAGGTAATGCTTATCAGGTAACCAGTTACCCGTTAAAAGCACATGTACCACCAACAGCAGTAGGGTGGTGTGGACATCAGCCATCACATTTATTACTACTCTCGGTTGATTCACATTGCAGTGTAGGCGTGCTCTCGCTTTATTAATACCTTAGCAGTGGCACAGGAAGCAGCTTTAGATCACTTAGAAGCACCGACTATTGATCTCATTAAGATCATCTGAAGGTTTTCCAACTTAACTTCTATTTTTCGTGCTACACAGTTAGTGCTTACTTGAGTCTGTGTGTCAAACATTTGCAACAGCAAAGGAAATTTGATAGCAATGCTGGACTATAATCTTATCCACTGCACATTCATCAATCAAGTGTTCAGTTACTACTCCGATCAGACTGGCTAAGGTTTAATACAGAGTAGATTAGACATTAAGCATTGTCTTTGTTCACATCACAAACTGGAAACAATATCTATGAACATCTGACTAGCAAGTTGCCTTTGGTTCCTCTAGAGAAAACAATGAAATACCAACACTATGTAAGAATTTTATTGTCTGCTCGTAACAAGTAAAAGCACTTTTCTGATTTGAGGTAAAACCATTATAAGTAGTCTGCAATTAATATAAATGATTTTAAAAACAACACAAAGCTCATAGTAGTTTTACATTAGCCTAGCCCCACCTAGGTGGTCCATACAATGATATGTTAGCAAGCCACCTGTGCAAACAACTACACTCTTTGTTTTAAGGCCTAGTGTTACAAAGATAAATGTCAAAATATGGTGCTTAATGTATGGACTGAGACCAGTCAATATCAGGTACTTTTACACATTGCCTCAGTTTGTGTTTACAAAAGCTGCAGTGACTCATGGATCACTTTCTATTTAAGAACAATTTTGCCTGTTTTAGGAACGGTTTCCCTTTTCATTTGATATAAACAGCTACGCCCGGTCTGCTCCAATACCAAAGTTTATAATGGACTGTTCTAGCAAAAAGGATCATCAACAAGAAAGATTCTGAAAGATGCTCCCACAACGACTGTTTTCGTTCAAAAGTACACAGTAGCAGCTCAAGATACTAGGAAGCTACAAAATACTTTACCTTTCTATTGCACTTTCCACTGGAGGATCTCTAAACACTTTACGTGAATCAACCAAGGCTTAATCCCTTGTGAAGTATGTATCCTCAGTTTACCAATAGAGAAACGGATGCATATGGTGTTAAAGTGACTTGGCTAAGTCTACAGAGAGCAAGTCTGACTCTAGGCCTGTGCTTTAAGCCACTAGACCACTATTCATTTTTCAGTGCAAGGAAGGTGTCTATTGTAGATTTGCAGTGTTATCTTAAAAGTTTATTGGGGTAGGTATACAACCCACTTTCCCACTCTCTCTGCTATGGTACTAATGAAGAGTTAAAACATGACTTGCTTTAAACACACACACACAGAGTTACAAAAGTCAGCTAAAAAAAAGACCCCCCCCTGAGGTGGGGGAGGAATGTGTCTCTCTTGGGCAGAGCCTTAGTGAATAGATAACCTGACATGTGTCCTGAAGGCCAATTAACTCAGGGTCTGTTTGACTAAGAAAGGAAACAAGCTAAAAATCAAGAGACCTGCACAGACTTGCTTAACTGAATCCAACAGAAGGAGGTGACAGAGGGAACAATGGAAAACTATAGAGCATGCACAACATTCAAGCAAAAATGTTTCAACAAGGAATGCGTTCCATGAGGGACCAGTACTCCTATACATTTTTACTTACACTCTGAAATATTTCTTCAGTGTCCGCGCAGCATGGTAACCTGCCTCACTAGGCAAAGACATTCTCTATTCCCCCTTTCGGTATGGGACTTGGTTACACAGGCTGGCTGCGTCTACACTGGCCCCTTTTCCAAAAGGGGCATGCTAATTTTCAACTTCGTAATAGGGAAAGCCGCGGGGGATTTAAATATCCCCCGCGGGATTTAAATAAAGATGTCCGCCGCTTTTTTCCGGCTTGTAGAAAAGCCGGAAAAGAGCATCTAGACTGGCCCGAACCTCCGGAATAAAGCCCTATTCCGGAGGATCTCTTATTCCTACTTTGAAGTATTCTTTGAAGTAGGAATAAGAGATCCTCCGAAATAGGGCTTTATTCTGGAGGATCGGGCCAGTCTAGACGCTCTTTTCCGGCTTTTCTACAAGCCGGAAAAAAGCGGCGGACATCTTTATTTAAATCCCGCGGGGGATATTTAAATCCCCCGCGGCTTTCCCTATTACGAAGTTGAAAATTAGCATGCCCCTTTCGGAAAAGGGGCCAGTGTAGACGCAGCCGCTATGTCTAGACTACATTGCTTTTCTAAAAAAAAAAATTGCAAAAAAGCAGATGTGCTCTTTCACCATCCCTATAAACCTTGTTCTACACGGTATAAGGGATGTGTCGAAAGAGCCCTTTATTCCAAAATTTGGCACCATGTAGATGCGCCAAATTTCAGAAAAGCCTCTTTTGCAAGTAAATCGGAAAAAGATACACAATTTGTGTGCCACAAATTGTGTATTTTTTTCCGATTTAACTCTGCAGTCTAGACGTAGCCTTAGTAAGAACCTGCTTAATTTAAAAAAAAAAAAAAAAAGCCTAGATGTGAGTTATGAGACAAAGCAACACACGAAAAATAATTCTAGGGCCAGCTCTCCCCAAGAAACTTGCTGGTATAGTAATGCCAGGGATGCCATGTTTTTTTCAAGTGACATTTCTATACCTGCCAAAGCACTAGTGTAGATTTGCACCTGCAGTAAGGACTTGTGCTGCTATAAAACCTATTTTGTTCAAGGAACTGGTATGAACCATGCCAGCTATTGCACTTCTTTGCTGGTATAAGTTGTGTTTACACTAGGAGGTTTGCCAATAAAATTGTACCAAGAAGAGTATATGTGACTAGTTAAGACTAGGTCTACGAATCAATAGCAATCCTTTCTCCTGTTTAATTTCATCTGGATTAAAATTGTGTGATAAATCCTTATAATACAGTTTTGCTAAGAGGAAAAACAAACGGTAAGCAGTCATAGCCAAGTCATGCCCACATCAACACAACTTTTGTAACATTTCAGATATGCTTTACAGGTAAACAATAAAAAAAATCATTAATTCAGTTATGTGGCTGTGAATACACACAGGGTATGTCTTTGCAGCCACTGGGTAGTGTAATTCTCTGCCAAACAGACAAACACATCGTAGCTTTGATCAGGCTAGCATGCTAAAATAACATGGCTGCCAAGACAACTGAGGCTAGCTGCACAAATACACACTTAGGATCTCATATAGGGTTGTAGTCAGATGGGTAGCCTGAGCCAAAGTGATCATACTGATATTTTTAGCATGCTAGCACACATACATCTACCCAAGCTAGGAATTAGCCCTGCAATAATGACATGAGTACCTAAAAATTATATAGCTTCTCTGAACAAAAAAAGCTTTAAAAAAGCAATCATTCAGATATTCACCTAAAGCTTGTGGTAAATCTTTTTAAAACGGCAATTTTATGTGCTATTAACTGATTTATATAGCACCATAGATATGCTTGATGCTTTATGGATATGGTCCCTGCCTCTGAGAAATTCCAATCTAAGACCCAGATCCTGCAAGGATTTCTAATGCGTTCAGTGTAGGATAACTATCCCATGTTAAAGTTCTTCTTATGCTTAAGTGTTTGCAGGATTTGGTCCTTGTCCATTAAATAAAAGCTTTTTTGGATTTCAAGCTACACTGTGATGGAAGAAAAAAAAAACCTTCTTAGTTCAAAGTTGCAGTTCATGTTTGCACTGTCATGGTGCTTTTTGCCTTGCAGAATGTTCAGGTCATGCAGTTTTTATGGGAGAAATTGAATCTTATTTCTGTTACCAGTAAATTTAGAATAAAAACGGGTTTAAAAACAATCCAGTTCACAGTAAGTCTGTACCATTTCTAACTATTGTTGAAGCTGCAACTTGTAAAACAGCACTGGAATGTTACAAATGGCCCCTTACGATACAAAATTATTGTTCCCCACTGCACATTCGCTAGTCTCTCTTTTTATCTTTAGCATCCTCTTTTTCTTCTTCTTCTTCTTCATCTGAGTATACAGTGGGTTCCTCTCCTTCCTTCAGCAGTTTGCCAACATGGTGATATTTAACTGTAAAATGAGAAAAAAAACCACAGAATACGGATCATTCTTTTGCCTCATGCAACAGGTGATATTTATGTGAGAAATGGGGAAAATAAACACAAGCAATACAATTTCTCCTGTTACCAAAATCAGGAGTGAATTAATGTACAGGTATTGGCTCCTGCCTGCTCCTCCCCCCCCCCCGCCTCTGATACAGCTCTGCCAGAGCTGGTACACACTTGCCACCCTACCCCTCCCTCTCCTCCCCCATGCTGCTGCCTTCGCTATGGGGTGCGTGTATGAAACCATGCATGTTAAACAAGAAGCACAGACTCACTGGTTAACCGTGTAAACGGTTACACTCTCACACCCTTAGTCTACATTACAAGATTAGTATCAGAGGGGTCGCCGTGTTAGTCTGAATCTGCAAAAGCGACGAGGAGTCCTGTGGCACCTTATAGACTAACTGAAGTGTAGGAGCATCAGCTTTCGTGGGCAGAGACCCACTTCGTCAGATGCATGAGCACACTGACAAAAGCAACCTTGCCAAACTATCTAAACATGCATCTGACGAAGTGGGTCTTTGCCCACGAAAGCTTCTGCTCCTGCACTTCAGTTAGTCTATAAGGTGCCACAGGGCTCCTCGTCGCTATTACAAGATTAGGTCGAAGTTAAGGTCCATTTTTCAGCATCCAAATTGACAAAGCTGAAGGTGCATGTCCTCCCTCACTGGGCACATGACGCATAGAGGAAGCGTGGCTGGCTTTGACTCTGACCGAGATGCACTGTGGGTAGTTATCCCACAATTCCGGCTGCCCCTTTGCATTCTGGCTCCCAGTGCCTGATGGGACAAAACATTGCAGTCCGTGGTTCCAGATACACATCATCAGCATCCTATAATGCACGTATGGCCTCCCTCCCGCCCCTCCCCCCACTCGAAAGCAATGCCAAACAATTGTTTTCCACACTCTTTTCTTCCCCTGGTTATCCATGCGGATGCCATAGCAGGGCAAGCATGGACCCTGCTCGGATTCAAGCTGCTGTGACAAGCATTGCAAACACATTGTGTATTATGCTGTGGCTTGTCCCAAAGTCTAACCAGGTGCTGCCAAAGTAAGGATGCAATAGTACCCCTGATTAACCGATAAGCAAAAGCGTATAGGTTAATGCTACAGACTACACGCGTTCCCCCCCTGCCCCGCTCAGTCCCGGCTTACACTGGGTCTGGGACCTACCCCCGCTGCGGCTCTGCATTTAAAGTGTATTAGGAGCCAGGCGGGCAGGAAGCCCGGCTCAGTTCCGGTTCACACCAGGTCGGGGAGCTCAGACCCCTCCCACTTCCAGACAGGCTCCCGCCTGGCACCCCACGCTGCTGCCTCTGATAGAGACACAGAAGTGTGGGGTGGCAAGGGCCTCCCTGGGAGTGGGGCTGGAACGCACGAGCTACCAGCCCCACCCCCGGGAACTATCGAATAGTCGACTCCACGAGATAAGAATCCACGAGGTTAATCGACTATTCAATTAACCGACATTTAACATCCCTACGGCAGAGTGAGGAAAAACGTGAGGAGGCCAAGAACACAGGCAGGCATGAAACTATGGGGCAGAGCAATTGGCATAGGCTGGCAGCAGTCGGTCCTGCTGACACAGTGAAACACCAATTCTGGTCCCGGGAGACAAGCACAGACGGCTAGGACGGCAGGGCGATGCAATTACGGGACGACAACCAACGGCTGCAAAACTTTCATGGGGCATAAGGCCACTTGCATTGCAACTTTGCGAACTGTTGCACTGCAGGGTGGGGGAAAGCGATGCCAGAGGGAGACCCGCTCCGACAACTGAGACGCAAGTGGCAATAGCTAAGGTTCTCTTTAAGTTGCATGGCCCGGCAGCTGCTTAATGGGCTGCCAGGCACGGAGCTGCCTGGCTGGGGGGGGGGGGGGGGGGCTTTCTCTCTCAGGGACAGCAGAGTCTCTCTCTCAGACAGTAGGGAGGGGACGTGTCCCTAGGGGCTGGAAAAGGCTTGCTGCTCTGTCCTCAGCAAAGAGCTGCTATTGTAACTGAGGGAGATGTGCCTTCCCCTCCAGCCAGGCAGCTCCATGCACGGCAGCCCTGAGCGCCTAGGCGGGGCTCATTACGGAGCTGTGGGGCTGTGCTGCCACGCAGCTCCGAGGGAACCTTGCAACGCCCGCCTGCTACCAGTTAGCTGGGAATCAATTCAGAGCAGGGTCACTCTCCAGTGGGAGCTGCTGTGAGCCAAGGAGCCAGGAGTGACGTAGTGGGGGGTACCTTGCTGGTTGCTATGCTGGGCAGTGGGTTGGGAGGGACTTCCACTGGCTGCTGGCTGCAGCACGGCCCAGCCGGGCAGGGGATGAGTCGTTATGCAAAGAGGGGCTCTCAACCTGTCTGACCAGCTACCCCCCAGGGAGAGAAACAAAGGAAGGTGGAATGCTGCCCCTGGCTGGGGGGCAGGGCTGGAACTGAGTTAGTCTCTGTCTGGGAGCATGGAGGAGACAGCCTAGGAAAAGAGGCTGGAATTTAGGGGCCCCATCTCAAGGGGGGCTATGGCATCCTAGGCCTGCCCTGGAACCAGATTACATCTGTGCTGTTCTGTATCCTGGAGAAGCAATAAACCCCCTCTGTTCTACTGGCTGGGGGAGTCTGTTCGTGTCATTACGGGGGTGCAAGAGACGGGAAAAACCCGATGTGCCGTCACACCAGGGCAATCAATACCCTTCTGCTAGGAAAGGCAGTGACTGGGAAACGGGCAGGACGTACTGGATGGCTTTGCCCCGATGGGGTTCCCCGACCGTGGTGGGGCGATAGAGGAATGCACATCCCTTTCTTGGCACCAGACCAGCACGCTAACGGCCAGGGGTGCTTCTCAACGGTGTTGCAGGCTCTGGTGTATCACAAGGGCTGCGTCACCAACATCAGCACGCGATGGTTGGGCAAGGTGCATGATGCACACATCTTTAGGGACTCTGGCCTCTTCAGAAAGCTGCAAAATGGAACTTCCCCCCCAGCTCAGAAAGTAACCAGTGGAGACACTGAAAAGCTAATAACTATTCGTGGAGGCCCCGCCTGACCCTTGTGCCTCACGAAGCCGCACACAAGCAGCCTGGACAGTAGGATCAAGTCAGCTACAGGCTGAGCAAGTACCAAATGGTGGTGCTTTTGCAGTTTACTGACTATGGTAGACCTCAACGAAAGCAACATTCCCATTGTCATGGCTCTGTGCGTGGCTGTGTGCTCTATAAAATCTGCGAAAGTAAGGGGGGGGGAGAAATTTCTTGCAGGGTGGGGAGTTGCGGCGAATCACCCAGCTGCTAGTTAGGAGCAGCCAGACGCCAGGGCACTAAGCAGAGCCCATCGAGGGGCACTGAAAATCAGAGAGGCTTTGAAAGTCAGTTTCATGAGTGACCAGCCGCATACGTTGTCCTTAATGAGCTGCCGCCTTACATCACGCCTACTGGCCTGTACACCCTTCCCCCACATTGACACAAGCAATAAAGATCCTGTTCAGAAATCACGTTGTTTTTTTCACTTAAGGGAAACAGGGAACAGAGACAGAAAGGAGGCCAGGGCGTGAGCTGGAGAGGATATCACAATCCCGCTGTGTAGCAATCACAGCTGTGGGAAAGATAACCTTCTGTTCCAAGAGACATCCTTGGGAGTGGAGTGCAAGGCTGCCCTGGACTCCCTCTCCCGTTCAAGGACTCCTGGGAGAGGAGGCGGCTATGGCACTTGGCGAGGAAGGCAGGTGGTTTAGTACAGGGTGCAGGGGGACTCTGTGCTCCAGATGCTTTCCCTGCACCTCTACAGCTCCGTCTGCTCCCCTACGACCCTCAAGATCTCGAGTCTTGCATCCATATTACCTGCATACTCTCCCCCTGCTCCATCTGCTAAGTCGTTCTCCTCCAGACACTCAATTTGGGCGCATTGCATTTGCTCATTAAACATGTCACCCGAGGACTTTTCCGCCTTCTGATCTATTATAGCTCACCTGCTGGAGGACCGAGGGGGAGGGAGAGGGGAGGGAATGGCCGCAGCTGCGTTGAGGAACAAACTAGAGGGCAGATTTTAGAGAAGATACCCTGGAGAACGCAGAAGCGACTCACGAAGCTCTGTGGACGTAAACCATGTGTTCTGTATGAGGCTAAAGTTACGTTTTTAAGTGCTTACTAGAGAGGTACAAGATAAGCCCTGCTGGGCTCTTTTGGCAGCAGGCATGGTAAGCAACAGGATGGGGTTTTGCTCGTTTGCTTCCGCTTCAAAAACATGTGACTGAGGCTACAGCTACACTGCCATTTTTTCCCCCACTGGAAGAAGATATGCAAATTGCTCTCTCATTTGCATATCCTTTTCCGATTCTTTTTGTGGGAGGTTTTTCCGATACTTGGCCCCGTGCAGATGGGCTAAATGCTGGTTAATAGCTGTGGATGGAGCTATCCTCCATGAATTTATCGAATTCTTTTTTGAAGTCCTGGCCTTCGCAACATCCTCCGGCAAGGAGTTCCACAGGTTGACTGTGCGTTGCGATGCTGGGCATTCCAGGTCAGGTGTGCTGCTGTGCTTGTGATGCTGGCCAAACAAAAAACTAAATTCAAATTTTCCCAGGGCTTCTCTTGCGTAGCCGGCAGAGCAGCAGAGTTGAACGTGCTGGCCAGAGTGGTCACATTGGGGCACTGTGGGACCCTCTGGGGTCTAAGAACATTGATTTTCACAGCACTGTGTCTGCACAACCCCAAAGTCGACTATGCAAGGCTGAATGTAGTGTTATTCCTCTCATCAAGGAAAAGTATAGAAATAGAATTTACCTGCCCTTGAAGCCGGAAAGGACTTGGTGGTGTAGACGTATTGTTTGTATAGCAGACCTAACGCAGCTAAATTGGACCTAAACTTGTATGCAGACCAGTCTTCAAGAGCTCATGTTCAAACTATCACAACGAAGTGAATGGAGTGAGTGGAGAAACACAACACCTCTCCTCTCCCCTGACATTACATGGGCTTGTGCCAGCTCTAAAGTTCTGGAAGCTGGTACCACGGAAGTGTTCTTAGGTTACAAGCAAGTATGTATATTTTCAGAGATTCAGGCTGGTCATAGGCTCTGCGTTACAGGAAAATATTGTTCCCTCATGCCTTAGACACAGCACCATATGAATTCTCCCACTGTGTGCCCAGACAAGCCTTATTCCCATTAGCTATTTCCTTGTGAAGCATTTTAAGATGATAGACGTGCATAAGGAAGAACGTGGTGACGCACGGCCCTGCAGACCATCCTCTGCAAAGCCTTTTAGCAAGTCAGGTTTAAAACACGCTCTATTATAGTTTAAACTATGAAATTAAAGGTAAATATTTGCATAATTTGCTAGACATTTGGGAACTCGATTAACTGCAAAGTAGGAGCCCTTCACTCCTGGAAAGTCTGATTTAAATGCTGGGTTTTGGTTACACATCTGACTGTGTAATTCTGGGGTCTCGGACACACTTATAAAACCACCTCCTAATATGGCGTGATCAGCAGCTTTGTTCAAGACAGGATGAGAGTCAAACTAGCAGCTGCCTCCATATTAGGAGGTTTTCCAACATAGCAAATGAGGAGCAAAAACCCCAACAGCATTATCTGGGGAAAGCCTGGCTCTTCATGCGGGACCCTTTTCATTCCCACTGCACAAAAGTTACATTTTTGTAACTGCCCACAAATCACTATTTTAGGACTGGAGGAAATGATAGCATGGAAAGAGATCCTTGTCTAAATCTGCTTCTGCATTTTTCCAACAAAAGGTTCTTCCCCTAAAAAAGGATTATTTCCTTTTCAACTGTCCCTTTTAAAAGGACTTCATGACCCTCCTGTCGTGCCACACAGTTTGTAGCCCACAAGGCTGCTTCTAAAGCACACTGGACCTTGTACTGAAGCACACGGAACAGATTATTTTCATAAGGACTCTTTAGAAAGCTCCTGAGAGAAACAGGACACACCCCACAGGAACATATGCAAGTTACTGATTTCAACAGGTTGATCACAGTGAAAATGCTTCGTCTCTGTCTGACCCCAAACTGACTCCCTAATGGAATTTGTATCATTTTCTGGTGCAAAGACCATTCTAGCAGTGAGCATGTCGGAAGCCAGGTCAGCTGGGAAAGGATGGACCAGTCCCACGTGAGTCTTAAGATACCTACAGTCACACAATATCAATTGTTCTGTGCCTCATGTATTTGCAAATATGTTACACCAGGGGAATGGCGGGAATGCTGAATCAGTTCTAGTTCTACACTTTAAAATTCAGTCGGATCTTGTTTTAACGCTGGCCATCATGCAGCCACACTTCTAGTAAACTGTCATGGTCCTACCTAGCCAAGTGTACGCAGAATTCCACGACATGTTGTGTGTAGTTAATACACTTCATCAGGCAGGTATTACTGTAGACTAGGGGAGAGGGTAACCTAGTCCCTGGCTTAATTTGATCCAGACTACGGCAAGTCTGTGGCACAGGCTGGAAGCCCCGAGCCTCAGCACCCCTGCGTGTGAATGCTAGAGCCCCAAGCTCGTCCCCACGACTGGCAGGGCTGGATTAAGAAAGGGGCTGCAGCCCTGGGCCCTGTGCTAAGGGGGGAGTTGAGTGAGGTCATTTTTGCACGTGTGGGGCCTCCCAATTGATTTTTCTGTGGGTCAAAGGCCCCTGACAGAAAAAAAAAAAAAAGATTCCCTTCGCCTGATGTAGAGGATCATCAGACAATAAATCAAACTCCTGAGTATAAGGTAGTAGAACAGTTTCCAAACTAGGGATGTAAGCGATTAATCGATTATCCGATAAGCAAAAACGTATCCGATAATTGACACACTAGTCAACTAGTGACTCCCCCCTTGCTGCCTTTATCACAAAGACGCAGCAGAGCAGGGGGAGAGGAAGGGGTGCTGGAGGGGGCTGGTTTAACAGCCTGTTCCTCTCTACTTCAGCTCCATGGGAGGGAGCGGGGCACAGCAGCTGCCTTCCAACTTTGAAATGTACAAGAGTCCCTGCTAGGGATCTTGTACATTTCAAAGAGGAAGCGCTCCAGGCGTTCCAACTTTGCAATGCATGTGCTCATCCTTATCGACTAATCGAATAGTCGATGGAAATTCCATCGCCTATTCAATTAGTTAATCGAAATTTAACATCCCTAATCTAAACAACAAAGTATCAATTTAAAAAAAGAGTCATAAATATCTGGGCCACAGAGCAGCTATAGTTGCCATATTTACACCGGGAGCCTTTAACACCAAGAGCTGCAAAACGAATCGGAGAAAGAGCAGAACTGGGCAAAAATCCAGCTCACCAAACCACCAGATCCAGCCTGTGGGAACCTCAGTCAGGCGTCCTGCCTTCCCTACCCGCTGTGCAGCTCCCAGAAGCACCGGCTGCAGTGCCACATGTGATACTCTGAAATTAGCGCTGCAAGCCCAGGGAGGGGGGAAAGGGACAGGGTTCTTACACTGTCCCCACGCCCAGGAAAATCTTGCAGCTCCCATTGGCCAGTTTCCAACCAATAGGAGCTGCCTGTTTGTAGGACAGGCAGCATGTGAAGTAAGCCCCCAGGCTCGCAGCATTCAGTTCAGAGCAGCACCCGTGGCCCTGCAACATATGCGGTGGCATGGAAGGCAGAGACCTTGGCTAAGTAACTTGCTGGGCTGCTGGCCAGGAGCTGCCCACGCAAATGCCTCCTGGCCAGGGCCTGTCTCTGGCACCCCAACCTCTCCCTCCCCCGAAACTCTGTGCACCTCTTCTCTTGCACCCAGGCCCCTTCCCAGACCCTGCACCTCCTTTTCCTACACCCCTCTTCCAGGTCAGAATCCTCTCCTGCACCCATACCCCCTTCCAGACCCTGCACCAGATCACAACCTCTTCCTTCCTCCAAACTTCCTCCCAGATCCCACACCCTCTTCTGCACCCCAATCCCATACCCCAAGCTCCTTTCTACACCCGATTTCCATTCCAGACCCCACACCTCCTCCATTAATAGCATGGAAGAGTATAGCCCTTGACCACTTACTAAATTCTTGGAGTGGCCCCCCATCCAAAATTATTGCCCACCCCTGAGAAAGAACAATGACTTCAATGCCCAGATTTTCTAGATCATTGTATATTTATATCCAAGCCAGGGTAGACAAGAAAAGGGATAACTGCTTTCAGCTTATTTTGTTGGCAAAGTCACTACATGCAAGCATAAGGCAGCCCATCTTTTCGAATTCTGGGGCTGCCATTCCTGAATGCTGCACAATTAATCTGACACATACAAAATACAGGGCTATGTAGCACCTGTATTTTGTTTTAGCTACACCAGACTAACACGGCTACATTTCTATCACTACTCTGGCACATACAGAATGTATTAATTTCACTCAGTATTCAAAAGCACTCAAGTGATTTTTGAAAATGTAATGCAGGCTTCTGAAAGTCACTTAGAGGCTTCTGAGAATGTTACTTCTCCAAAGCTTGTTTTGTAGATGCTCAAACAATAGGACAACACAAGTAATACCAAGTGGAAAACATCCAGTTTTCCCGAATTAAGCTCCCTTAATCATACAGAATGTAAAAAATACGAATGGCACTGTATGGCAGTAACTAAACTTAGCTGCTTTACAGGAAAACTCTCCACATGCAATCAAGTTAATTAAAAAGTTAAGAGCAGTCTCATCTCCTGCTATTTTTTTGTAGTTTTACAGTCAAATTTTACTATTTGAAAGAATGGTTTAGACTTCTGTTGTTCTATAAAAAAACATAGCCAAACAAAAAGATACCACCCAAACAGGTGAAACTTACATTTTTTCTCTAATCTCTCAATTTTAGTAAACTTAAGTGTTACAACAATAAAAGATACAATTTTTTAGAGACAAGCTTGTTTGCAGAGTTGATTCTGGGATACTAGAGAGGCAAGATCGATGAGGTAATCTCTTCTATTGGATCAACTTCTGTTGGTGAGAGTCAAGCTTTCGGACTTACATGAGGTAATCTCTTCTATTGGATCAACTTCCGTTGGTGAGAGTCAAGCTTTTGGACTTACGCAGAACTCTTCCTTCAGGTCCAACCACAGAAAGCTTTGTAAGTGTCTCTCTTTTCCCATCAGAAGTTGGTGAATAAATGAAATTAACCTCATCCACCTTGTCTTAGACATTTGATGTTTAAATTGATGTGTCCCTATTGATAGAGCCCTGCAAATCCGCAGATATCCATGGATGCAGATCTCTGTGTATCATTTTTGCAGGTGCAGATATGGATACCAATTTTGTATCCGCACAAGGCTTGCCGCTCTATCTATTGAAAGTCTTCCAGCATTATACACAGAAGTTAGCTACTGTACTGCTAGTGGATTTTAAATTGCTTACAAGTGAACTGCGATTCCCAGTCTCTCAGGGTCTCTTGCTGCGTAGCATTGAGGTCAGACAGGTCATCATATTCATCCTTCAAAGCTTCCTTATCCAGACAGAACGTGGCAAGACCTCTGGATGCATCCCTTCCAGCAAAAATTCCATACGGGCCCTCTTTAAAATAAAAAAGATGTTAGGATAATAATGAAGTTAATGTTTCTTTGAGGTCAACATACCAAAAAGCAATTGACTTGCAGATCCCCAGACTTGAACCTTACGTAGAAATCCTCAAAATTCATGAAATACTAAGATTTATATTGTAAAATGTGTCCTTTTTTGTAATATTGAGGCAGGTATTTTCTAGTACGTACACAAAACAAAAAAAGAAACAGAATCACTAAAGATACTGAGCGTGCTGGTGAGCAAAGGGCATTGTGAAAGGGAGTTATGCACAAGAAGCAAATGGCTTTCCTGAGACATATGGGGGCACCTGTGAAGACAGCAAACAGGAGTCAGTTCTGTGGGAAGAGGAGAGGAATGGTTCAGAAGTCTGAGGAGACACTAGGCTTTTTCACAAATCCTTCCAGCCTTGAGCTGACCCATGAAAGAAGAAGGATCTGAAAGGCGGATTAGCTGGCTTGACATATGGAGAAGGCTCTTGAGCAGACACCACTCCAAACCATACTGATCGGGCTGGACGCACGTGGCTAGTGAAGAATAAATGAACACCAAATGCCCTTAAGGCACATTTCATGGAGAAGGGACCAATGCGTGCAATTCACAGTGGGTCAGAGGTATCTTATCTAGAGCGACATTTGGTAAACTTAATCAATCATTAACTCCTTTGCAATAGTAAGCAGAATATTTTATCTGTACAGAAGTAACAGAATATCGGGATAGCAATGTGTTCCAATGACACATTTAAGGCCTCCGAAGACACCAAAGTCTGGTTACTCTAGAGACAACACACCAGTCCGCACTGGAAGAACGTGTTTCAACAAACGGAATCACTTTCCTTTTTAGAGAGACCCAATTTGACGACATTCATAAATTAGACCTGGTTCACAGCCTTTCATGTGCAGAGCTGGAACTCATGAGTAGGTTTGGTTTTTTTTAAAGCTCTAAGCAGAGAGAGAACCGCACATCCAAATCAGTCATGTCTGTCATCTGCCTGTTCTAGAACTTCAAACCCCACGCTGAAATTGTGTTCCTTGCACCACACACACATATGAAACAGATAGTAGACAGACAGGATTTATTGCATAGCCCTGGGATGGGGTACCCTCCCCCGCTTCTGTCTTTTATTTTGGCCCTTGTGTCACTCTGTTTTGTTATCTAGGTATTGCCTGCGCTCTGGAAGGAGGTACTGAGAATTGTGAAACCAACCTAATTACACCCGTAGAGACTGAACACAAGCCAAATCATTGCCACTCTGCAGTCAGGCCTTAGGAGAGAGCCTGGGCCAGATCGGGCTACTGAACTGCAGAGCACAGATGGTCCCCCCCCATACAGTGCCCCCAGTATAATCCTCTCCACAAACAGGATTGGCCGGTTACACAAGGAAACAACAAACAAGTAGCAGCTGGAGGCAGGAGGGGTTGGGGAGCTCTGCTAGGGAAATGGGAACACACTGTCTCTGCTAGGGAATGGGAACACAACCCAAGGCCGTAACTAGATCCAAGGCCTTTCCCCCACACAGCCTCTCAGCTTCCCCTCACCCCCACGGATCCTCCACGTCTCCTCTGCTGCATCCCAGAACCTCCCCTTACTCCTCTAACCTCACAATAGACTCCAAAAACTCCCCCGGTCCCTACTGTATCCCAGCACGTCCTCAATGCGCCCTTCCCCCACACTACATCCCAGCACCTCCCTCTCATCCCCACTGCACCCCCTTTCCTCACAATGCTCCCCAGAGCCTCCCCGAACCTCCACTGATTCTCCATGTCTCCACCACTGCACCTCAGAACCTCCCCTAATCCTCCCCCCCACACCACACCCCACCCCCGGTCCCTACTGTATCCCAGCACGTCCTCAATGCGCCCTTCCCCCACACTACATCCCAGCACCTCCCTCTCATCCCCACTGCACCCCCTTTCCTCACAATGCTCCCCAGAGCCTCCCCGAACCTCCACTGATTCTCCATGTCTCCACCACTGCACCTCAGAACCTCCCCTAATCCTCCCCCCCACACCACACCCCACCAACTCCCCTGGTCTTTACTGCTCCCCCAGCTCACCCTCAATGCACCTTTCTCCCCCCCCCCGTCCCCACTCCACCCCCTCCCC